TAAATAATATGATTGGCGGTGAATCTCGATAGTGCGAGATGACAGAAAGGGTGGTGGGCGTAAAGATGTTCAAAAATGGCACATGAGAAGGCTTGCCAACACGCGTAGGTGCGGATTCGCGTCGCGCCAATGGCCTGCACCCACCTCCACTTCCGGTCAGGACGTCGAGCCCAGATGGAGTAGGTGAGAGTGCGGTAGATGCGTCGCAAGTCTACGAGCGCTATAAACTAATTCACGCACCACTCACCGTCCCTGCGCCCACTCCGCTGTGGGGGTAAACCGTGGACGTTGTCGAAAAAGATGGTCGAAATTTCGTGACTAAGTTCAGTTAACTTGCACAAATAGGGCCCCATAGATATCGCTATGAGACAGTATTATTTCTCATTAAATTCGCCATTTTCATTACTTTTGGTGTTTGTAATTGCTTATTGTTATGGTGGCATCCCTACAGTTGAGCTCTACCTGTACAGACTAATTTAGGGTCTTCCCTAGTTGGTCAATCTTGTGAGACGCCGTGAAAATCTGTCCACTCGCAGGAAAGGCTTCCTCAATTTGCTACTGAGCACCCTGCCGTCGTTTCGAATTAGTTCGTGACTACACACTTCCGTCTTTTTAGGGATGTGTACGAAACATACCAGCGCGATATAATTCCCACGAATAGCGGCCTTTTCCTGTTGTACTAAGTGTAATTATGCTATCCTCCCCGTACATTTAATTTCCTTCGTTTGAGCCTTAGCTTCCTTTATCCCGACATTTAGGCTGAGGGCAGTACTTGCTATGAGATCCTGGCCAATTTGAAAAAGGAAGAGGCCCCCGCCACGTGCCATCCTACTCACTTCTACGTCTCCGCACCAACACCCAATGAAACACAGGAACCGGGCTGGCGGTTTTCCATAGCTGCTGACGCCGCCGAGGAGCACAACTTAGTTGTTAGGACTGACGACAATGATCGGTACTACTCGAAGGATCCAACTGCATGGAGCACGATGATAGATCGCGAGTGGCCCATTTCTGAACGGTGAGTCTGTCCTCCGAAAAAGTATACTGTGTACGTGCGCACTTGATAGAACGGTGGTCCCCTTCCACGTTCAGAGACGACCGAAATACCTTTTTTTCAAACAGTTGACGGACGGCTTAGTCCAAATTGGTTTTGTTTGTGACTTCCTGTCATTGCTCGACATAAGATTGAGACGTCTGAGGAGGCAAGTAAGACCAGCAGCAGCGAACCGGTTCACTGAGGTGTAATTTATTAAGGCATGCCGCACGGAATCGCAGTTGGTTCAGTAACATTTCCTCATTCTGCAGACCTTCTACCCTTGAATACTGACGACCACAGTTGTCCAGATCGTATTAAGGCGAACTGGGACCACTAAGTGTTTTGTTGTGTATTTGCCCAATCAACACAAATTCACTGACTTCTACTCCTTTTTTTCAGTACACCCAACTGTAAGGATCTGATTCTGGCTATGGTGGAGGCCGTGGTCTCGCATACGACGGATCGAGAATCATCGTTTGCCTCTAATTCACCTGTAGTTATCAGCCAAAACTGGATATCAAAGATAGATGACTGTTTACTACCGATGTCCGTAAAATCCGCAGGCAGTGGGTGTGGTAATCTCAAACCGCCGTCCGTGCTCCACCTCAGTGTGTCTTTCCGGCCCACAACGTGTCTACGATGACTGCCTGTAACACAGCAATGGTTTCTGTTGCCCCTTCGTCTTTCACTGCAAATTTGTTTAGCACCTGCCAGTTAGATCATCCTGTCAATCTTCAGGATTAGTTGTGACTTCAGCTTTTATTTGGAACCTGCGTCACCTCTAATCTTGGAAACTGCCTCCGCCTAAAACTGCGATTTAGGTGCATATTTATTTTAAATTGTCTTTCTTAATACGATCTTTGAACGATATGGTTTAGTCTTCTGTCTTGCATGTGCATTTTGGCGGACGGAGAGGGAATGACGACACAGACCATTTAAAGGAACGATTTCCGGAAGAAAAGATGAATACAATGATAAGAAGGGGAATAACGAAGCATGTATTATTGCTACGATCTCAGTAGGTGAAAACATTGTACAAAATTATAGCAGCAGGTTTTAGCAGCAGCAGTTTTATAATTGGAGAATTTTGGGTTATGTTCTGCCACACGCTCCTCCAGGACGAAAGCATCGCGAAGTCACCGAAGCTTTAGGTGAAGTCGGTCATATGGACCTTAAAGGAACGTTGACAGAGACAAAACCTAGGACTATGTAATAAAGAACATTCTTACCTCAAAATTCCCTAGAGTGCATTTCGGATGCACTCGAAGATTTTGGCATATTTTCTATCGTTGTCAACGAATCCATCACCATTCTATGAAGGTTCAGATAATTTTGTACGCAAACCTTTTTGGAATGGATGAGGGGTCCGCCGACTATCTGCACCTCAAACCAACCGGTCGATGTCGGAGTTCCCTCGCCGGTCTAATGACGTAGTATCACTAACTCTGCCTTACCACTTCTATGCTCGGACCGAATTCGGAGACGAGCTTCTTCTTAAACATTTCAAACTAGTTGAATAGGGAAGTAGTGCAAGGTTTTGAAACTTACTTTTGGCTCGTATCCTCATGCGCCACTAAAGGGTGTTTTAATACAAGGTTTAACTTACCAGTAGATGACGTGAATCTTAACACCCATGTTTCGAGAGCGCTGGATCCTAGTTTACTGTCCGAATATGATTTGGTTCTTTGGTGCGATGTTCACTCCTCTTCGTCAC